AGAGAGAGAGAGAGAGAGTTGAGATAGGGAGGAGACGCGAACAGAGACGAATATTGGAATCGTGAACGATGAGGAAAGAAGTGAAAGGCCGTCGTCTCTTCGAAAAGAAACGACGTGTAATCGTCGGCCAACGCCATATAAATTCTCCGAGAATATTGAGACTAAAAGAAAGAGAACGTTAATAAATCATTGCATCGGAGGAACAACCATGATAAATGTTCAATCCGATCATAACGATTTTCGTGAGAGTCTCGATATTAAGAAGAAAAATTTGTATCGAGAGTATTTACGTCTTCACGAAAATCGATACGATTTTGAATACAAATTAAAAATTTCTTCTATCTATATGACACAGTCTCATAAAATGGCACGTGCTTTATTCGATGGCGTAGTATTTTATTTTTATGATCGTTAATCAATCGAACGCGTGTTCCATTGAGCTTATCGTATATATATATTATTATTACGATTTTACGCGTAGCTCGTATATTTATTTCTGTCGGATTTTTACACGCCATGGTACCGATGAGGATGTTTTTTTTTTTATTAATTATTTCACATCATAGAAAATTTATCGAATCAAATCGGGGTGGTTATTGCGAACAATTGTTATTTATATAAAATATATAATAATTTATATATAATAAATATATAATAATTATATATATAATTATTTATATATATTTTATTTATTTTTTCATATTATATATACATTTTGTTTTTTTTTTTTTCGAATTTTTAAACGAATGAAAATCGCATTGCCTATGCGCGCATTGAAGTCGCCGCGATAGCATTGAAGTCTCCGTAAAAAGAGGAACGTCGTTTCGAATTATTTCTCACCGTGAAAGTAATACACATCTTTTTTTTTTCTTCTCTTAAATAGCTCATTTTTTGTTTATAATGGAATCTTCTCTTTCTCATCAAGGAAGTTTAGTTCTAGAAACTTGTTTATTATCGTCAGCGGCTTCGTTTGAGTCTAACAAAATACTAGAGTACTGATACGAGAAACGTAACAACAACAACGACGACGACAACTCGTGGTACCGTTGCACGTGATTCGATCCAGTTATAGACGAAGTCAAACCTATCTCTCTCTCTCTTTTTCTCAGACACACACATACACAACAACAACAGGCACACAACTAGTCCGAAGAAAGAGAAATTCACTCGCGATCTTGTCAGACAGCAATGACGAGAAGCGAAGAAAAAGTGTTAGACGATATTTAATTTCAACGATTCCATATTGTTGTAATAATAAAGGGGGAAGGGGGAAAAAAAGTAACAAAATAAGGAGAAACAAATTGGGTTTCTCTTTACGATTCGATATCCGAACTAAAAATTCGTCAACGATCGAATTTCAATCATTGAATAAATTAATCGTAGACAAATCGTTGATAACAACAAATCAAAATGAATGGAACAAACGATTTTCGATCATTGATCTAATTAAATATGAACGTGAATTAATGCATAGATAATGATATTATTATTCATTTTATACTAGATAGAATAATTGATGGAATCGAAAGGATGGAGAATATTTTCCGAGACACACACACACACATACAATACATATTAGCAAAACAGTTACTTATATTATTCATATTAGAATATAAGTATACTTTTAGATGATCGAATGGAGATTAGGGAGAGCGGAGAGATCGCGAGAACCGGTGGGATGTTACTAATATCGGATGGAAAGTGTGTAGTGCATTAACATGCGTCGATGCATCGTTATCCCGGATGTCCTGTCGGATTTCTCGTGATTTCCTTCATCCTGAAATTAGTCGTGGAAAGTGACAGTGGCGGCAGGATGTGTTTCGCGAGAAAATTTACACTTTACTTGCATACGCGTATATATACATACACACACACACGCGCATATACACAAATACCTATAATAATAGTTAGTATACAAAAAAATGTACAGAAAAGAAGAAGAAGAAGAAGAAGAAGAAGAAGTAATGAAAATTAACATGTAAGATCAATTCAAATAGAATTCGAATAGTTTCTAAAGCCGCGATTGTCTGAATACTTTTTGAGCTAACTCATCATGTTTTACGATCACCGTAGAAATTCATCTTTTCAATTATTTTTTTATTTTTTTTTTTCTATTCCCTCTCCCTCTCTCTCTCTCTCTCTCTCTCTATAACGAATCAAAGAAGTTCTCATTTAACGATCTCGTGAATAATATCGAAAAAAATAGAATGAAAAGGAGAAAAAGAGAGAGAGAGAGAGAGAGAGAGAGAGAGAGAGAGAGAGAGAGATAACAAAAAAGAAAAGAAAAGGAAAGAAAAAGGAAAAAAGAAAGGGAAGAGAGTCTTTTTAAAGATGTCGGGTTACGTGAATCAGCCTCGATTCTGACGTCTCTCGAGATCGTTCGCGATGAGGACAGGCACGATCCAGTTTTCGGTTTCTAGAAAGTCGGGATGAGTCGGGCGTGGTTTATATGTATATATATATATATTTTTCTTTTTCTTTCTTTCTTTCTTTCTTTCTCTCTCACGGCCTCTCCCTCTGCATCGTCCTTGTTGGTATGATTTCTCTCCCGGCATTCACCTACGGTTTGGTACAAGTACGTTACCAGGGCCGCATTCGATCAGAAATGCATCCTCTCTCTTCGTCTTTTTATTCAAACCCATTCACAATCTACCCTCTTTTTTTGTTTTTATTTTTATATCCTAATTAAAGTAGATTCAAGTACGTTGTTGAATTTTGTTTCGATTTGATTGGAACAAAAAATTGTCGGTAGGCAATAAAAAAAAAAAAGAAAACAAGGAAAAAATATTTTCATGCATTACTTAATTGCAATACATTTTGGTGATAACGATAGTGAGTTTTTTTATTTTGTAATTGTATTCGATTGTCGAACGATCTTAAATAAAGTTCGTTACAATTTTTCCAAGTATTCTTAGTGATCTTGTTTTGTCTTTTCTTTTTTTTTTTTTTTTTTAATCGATTCTCTTTTACATTTGATATAATTTATACCGTTATATGGATCATATTTTTATATATACATGAAATATTCTTTTTAATTATTTTACCGAGTAAATAAGGTTTCGTCAAGTTTCCAAATTTGTTCATTCATTCATCCACGATCGATTAAAAATTTGTGCGAATTTTTCTTTTTTTTCCTCCCCCCCCCGTTGTTAATTATATATATAATTTAATGCACCTTGTTGTTTTTTTTGAATAAATTAATATAATATTATTCGGATAAGGAAGAAAGAAAGTTTATGCATTTTTAATGGACATTTTTATATGATCATATTGAAAATTATTCAAAATAACATGTAAACACGATTGACAAACAATCAAAAATAATTCAAACCGATCCTGTATCATGGTAAACATCGTTTGTGTAATGCTTGTAACCATAAGCCACTTGTTACTGTCCCTGTTTTGCTTGTCACACACGGGGAGGATTTCAATCGTTACGTTCGTACATTTCTTCCTTCTTATTATTATCCTTTCGTTTCCTTTTTTTTTATTTTCTTTTTTCAAGCAAATTATTCTCTCAAGATTTATGACGAACCGATTCATGACTTTCGATAACGATCTTCTTACTCGTCGTCCTTATGGTCAGCCATTAATAAATTTCCTAAGGTGTTCGCGAAACTGACTCGCAGTTACTCGAATATCTCGGAGAAAGGCTTTCCTTGTATGCATGTTTTTTTCCCTTTTTTTTTTCTTTTCAAAAAAAAACATCCTCTATCCGTAATTATTCGAATAATGTTACTTTCGTGAATTTGACTAATTGAATCGAAAAAAAAAAAAATAGAGATGATTTTTATTAATAAGAAGAAAGAAGGAGAAGGAGAAGAAATAATGAACAACAACAAAAAAAAGACAAGATAACACGGTTTAACTTTAAACTCGTCGTACATGAAGAATCTTTTTCAAGATTCGTTTTATCCGTTCTTTGAAACGTGGCCCTGGCCGGATTGCGTCGAGCACGAGGGAAGATTTAAATCGTTTCCTTTTCTTCTTCTTCTTCTTCTTCTTTTACTTTTTATGTTATTTTTCTTAATTCTTTTTTTTTATTTTATTTTATGTCGGGCGTGACGCAACCCTTTTTTCTTTTCCGAGAAAGAGAAAGAGAGAGAGAGAGTAAAAAGGCGGTGTCGTGTCCTTCCTCACTGCGCGCGAACGAGTACCTGTACGAAATCCGATCGTTCATACCGATAAAACGAACAGCAGAGAAGTGCCGGCATTTAATTACGACGCGCACCGTTTTAAGCACCGCCTTGTCGGAGATAAAGTGCGCGTACGTCGCTAAATTGATACATTGCGGGTCACGAAAATATTACGTTCCGTGTTCCCTCTCTACCACCCCCCACCCCCACCCCACNCACCCCGCCCTCCACCATATATACGCTCCGAAAGAATATATTTTCTCGATACTATACAATTTTCATTTTCGATACTTTCTTACCCCCCCTCCCCCCTCCCCACCCATTTTTCATTTGCATTTCACATTTTTTTTTTGATGACCGTTATCGGTTGCCCCAATTATTTGTAATTATCGTTA